GCCGCCGGCCGCGCCGGTGAGTGCCCCCGGCCCCGCGGAGCGGATTCCTTTCTTACCGTGTTTTATTCTTTTCGCATTCCTTATTCTCTCGTGGTTTCTCCAGCGCCTGGCACACGATAGAGAGGGTGCCAGAGCCCGCTGGCTCCCCTCCGAGGGAACCAGAGACATCCCTGCGCTTTTGTTAGCCAGCGGCCCGGGGCCCGAGCGACTGCGGGCGGATGCTCGCTCTGATGTCCTCCCGACGAGCGCTACACTTCGGGGCGTTCTGCTTCGGTTCCTAGAGTCGCCCAGCGAGGCGGGGATTCCGCTGTGCCTGGCTGAGATGCTAACTGGCGCGTTTGGTTCCTTTGCAGCCAACCCTTGCTGCTCAAACCCCTGCCAGAACAGGGGGGTGTGCATGACTGCAGGATTTGATCGGTACCAGTGCGACTGTACGAGGACAGGATACTACGGGGAAAACTGCACCACACGTAAGTACACCAAATCTCTCTTCCTGGAAACGAAGCTGACAATTCAGTGCCGGCATTGGAGAGCATTCTCGATAGCTTGTTTATAATAATCTCTCCACTCTGCTGACAGCGGAATTCTTCACGTGGCTGAAGCTAACACTGAGACCTTCACCAAATACTGTTCACTACATCCTCACCCACTTCCAGGGAGCCTGGAACATCATAAACAACATTCCCTTCTTGCGCGATGCTATTATGAGATACGTACTAACGTGTAAGTGTGAATTCTCTCTTCCAGTCCTCTTAAAACTGGCGGAAGTTACCTGTAGGACTCCAGACCATTACACTGTCTGTGTGTAAAGTAAGCGGCCAAAGCTGCTCTAAGGCTAAAACACTAGCCAAGGGTTAAGACTGATGCGTGATACAGACTTGCACGGAACATGCTGAAGTGCAGTTGGCTCTGGTTTCTGTCAGAATCCAGGATTGTGCTCCAAATGACTCGTGTTAACAGTGGGATCCGGCTGAAAAGCCAGGACCCAGTCCTGTTATTCAGTAACTGCAGTCCTATCTAACATCAGCGGCTGATACGTCTGGAATTTACATCCGCTGCAAATACATGGAAAAGATCTGGCTTTGTGATTTACTTTTTGAGACCAGAATGTACAGTTAAAAATAATTAAATACTTGTTTGTCTTTCAGCAAGATCACACTTGATTGACAGCCCACCAACTTACAACAGTGACTACAGTTACAAGAGCTGGGAAGCTTACTCCAATCTTTCCTATTATACAAGAAGCCTCCCACCAGTAGCGCTTGACTGCCCAACACCGATGGGTGTTAAAGGTAAGGAATACACCAGATGGGCAATGCTCACTTTTGGTGTCTTCTAAGAGGATAAGTAGAAATTCCTATGAGTCCTGTAACCTTTGCTCCCTGTAGCTGACTTTAAGAATAACCATGGTTTGGACACATAGTGTAAAAACCTAAAAGATGATTAAAGTGGTTCTTGTTACGGAGTTGCGTGCTAAAAGTGGGGAACTTAGAGGTTTCGAATTAAATCAAGAAAGTGAGCATAGAAGAGCAGACGATTCCCCTTATTTGTGTACTGCTGTCCTTCAGTATTACACTGAAAGTCTTAAGTCTTTTTGTTAGGAACAAAATTAAGAATTGCATAAATAGAGCTGTTGAATATCTAACTCTTTCTCTCCCTCACAGGTAAGAAAGAACTCCCAGATTCAAAGGTGATCGTGGAGAAGTTTTTGCTAAGGAAAAAATTCATTCCTGACCCCCAAGGCACAAATGTGATGTTCACGTTCTTTGCCCAACACTTCACTCATCAGTTCTTCAAGACAGACCACAAGAAGGGACCTGGCTTCACCAAGGCTCTGGGCCACGGGGTACGGGCATAGCTCTGTCACTTGGGCACAGCTCGTGGTGTTTAGGAGCCACTGAGCAGCTGGAATGGCATCTTGCAGGTTGCCAGGGGACACAAACACGTGTGCACACCCTGTGCAACACTGTGTGCCACAAAGCCATGGGATCACCCCTGCTGGAACTTCTCCTTAGGCCAAATTCCAGCATCAATAGCATCTCTTCCCAGTCAGAACCACAGGCTTTGCACAAGCAGTTCTGCTGACAGTATCTGCCTGGTCATCTCTGACTTATTATTCCCCAAAATCTGCCTTCACCTACAGCATGTTAGTGTTAATGAGTATCCAGAACTCCTCTAAACTCTGCTTTGGTCGGTTCCAAAGAGCTGTATCCAGCACTAAAGTGAGTATCCAGAACTCCTCTAAACTCCGCTTTGGTCAGTTCCAAAGAGCTGTATCCAGCACTAAAGATCTACTGTGCTGCAAATCAAAGAAACTTAGTTTAAAAAGAACTTGAGGAGCAGACTCAGATTTAGGATCTTTACCTACAAAACAGGCAGCCTTTGGACAAAGACTTCTTTGCTCTAAGTGTAATCTGTATGTCTAAACCAAAGCCACAAACCATGTGTATATATACAGAGAGCTGTAGAAAGTTGCTGACACTGTAAACAAAGTCCTTTTAAATTGCCAATTTAACAACCTCCTCTTATGCAGAGATGGCTCCAGTTGCCAGGAAATAATTTGGCTTCATCTTACATATCAGTGCATGATACTTACAAGGTAGCAGTAATATAATTAAAAGGTAAACATCTGGAGGGTGAACTCCTATTGGTATCCATAGAAGTGGGATATATCCTGAAATATCAAAAAATGCAGGTTGTCTTCATGTTCCAAATGCTCTTATTTTATAGGTTGACTTGAACCACATTTATGGAGAGACTCTGGAGAGGCAACTTAAACTGAGACTTCGGAAGGATGGAAAGCTAAAATACCAGGTACGTTCTACCTCAAAGTTCCTGCCTTCTTCTTGGATGACATATATTTCCTAATTTAGTGCTCTGTGCATGGTGTAGCTGATCAAAAGTGTAAGACTAATGCAGTACTAACAGTCAACACAGCTTAACCCTCAAGTATCATAGTTCACAAGTCTCATTTTGTTCTTGTCCCTCCCTGACAGATGATTGATGGAGAAATGTACCCTCCGACGGTGAAGGACACACAGGCAGAGATGCTGTACCCTCCCCACGTCCCCGAGCACCTGCAGTTTTCTGTGGGGCAGGAGGTGTTTGGTTTGGTCCCAGGCCTGATGATGTACGCCACGATCTGGCTGAGGGAACACAACCGTGTCTGTGACGTCCTGAAAAAGGTGCATCCGGAATGGGATGATGAGCAGCTCTTCCAAACTGCTAGACTCATACTGATAGGTGTGTGTCACTTCTACTACGTGCAACTCTAACCTTCTCTTGAGCGTGAAGAGGTGTGGTAAGAGGAAAGCTACCACTTAAGTTGGTGTGTGAGTGGTGCCTTCATGGCCTGTCACGGGGGTTGTGTTGAGGTACATCTCCCCAGCTCTGCTAAAGACAGGACTGAAGAAAACTGAGCTAAGCTTCCTTATGCAAGGGAAGCAGAACAGAAAGCAGTGAAAAGGCTCCTTTCTCAAGAGAAAGCATGTGAGGCTAGATGACCTCAGGCTCTCAGATATGGATTTTTTGTGTTTTTTTCCCCTAGGGTTGGGTCAGTACAGGTATGCTTTAAAAGAAAGGCTGTGACGGATTTTTTGTGGTTTTTTCCCCTAGGGTTGGGTCAGTTCAGGTATGCTTTAAAAGAAAGGCTGTGATTAAGTCTGAAGTTCAGAAGGTTGTGCAAAATTTAACATTTCTGCTTTCTAATTGTCTGCTCAGTGGTATTTCATCTTATGTAAATGGTCGTGTACACTAAGCTTGAAGACCTTGCCCATACACTACATATAATTACAACCATAAACCAAGACAATCCTGTTATACAGCTCAGAAGCTGAGAGTTGCTTTCAGACACCGACTTTCTTTCTCATCCCTTAGCTCTCTCCTGGAGAGTACTGAATATCTGAACACAGCATAGATAATCAGTGTCTGCACTGTGTGTAGCACAGCGCTGTGTGCTGTTCTCTGGAGCATGCAAGTCACATAAAAACATGACTTGCTTTCTAGAAGAGATTACACAACATCAAAGTGTTTGGTGTCCTGATCGCTACAGTATTTTTTAGAACAGTTCAGGAATGGTATTTTCTACACCACCTAAAGTTTCTCAGGGAACCAGTGCCAATATTCTCTCCCGTTCCTTTGGCCAACAGGAGAGACAATCAAGATCGTTATTGAGGACTATGTGCAACACTTGAGTGGTTACCACTTCAAGCTCAAGTTTGACCCTGAGCTGCTATTCAACCAGCGGTTCCAGTACCAGAACCGTATCGCAGCCGAGTTCAATACCCTGTACCACTGGCACCCGCTTCTGCCCGACACTTTCCAGATCCATGACCAGGAGTACACCTTCCAGCAGTTCCTCTACAACAACTCCATAATGCTGGAGCATGGCCTTTCCCATATGGTGAAGTCTTTCTCCAAGCAAAGGGCTGGCAGGGTAGGTACTTGCTCAAGTTGCCGGTGAACCAACAGGGACATAAGCCGAGGGTGGGACAAGAGAGTATAAAGCTATTGAAAACTAATCACGGACTATAAAGGCACAGCTTCCT